TCTTTCTCCTGTTTTGATTCCTCTTGCCGCTTGTCCTTGGCAGAGGGAACAGATTGCTGACGCAGGCAGTTGAATATGTTAGAGATAAACAATTTCACTCCTGACTTGTTCAGGCAAACTCCATCTGCCTTAAAAAGATGTCTGCGATCCCAGAAAAAGTTAAAATTGTCAATAAATGGACAGAATGGTCAGTGCAGGCAGCTGAAAGCCACATGTTCAATGCAAACAGTCTGCTGAATCTCTCCACTCCTCTTCTGACTGGCGGTAGAGGGCCACTGATGAACACCTCCGCATTTAGAGAGCTGACAGTTTCCAACAGACATTTAAAGTCTTCTTTCAGCGCTTCTGACTGTTGTTTCACAACATCATTTGTTCCAATATGTAGTACCACATTCTTCACAGTCGGATGTTCAGCCCCAATATGCAGGATCTTCTCAGCCAAGTCGGAGACCATATCCTTGGGAAAACAGAGTACTTTGGTGTTGTTCTTACTACACAGACCTTTTACATCTCTTACAGCAGAGTCACCCACAATCAGAGTTTCAGGCCCAGTCGTTAGCTTTCCCTCTAGCCTTTTACTTTTGGAGTAGCTATTGGTCCTTACCCTGCTGTGTGAAGAGGACAAAGGTTTCCGTTAAGTCAACATAGAGTTAAGTTCTGTTTGGATTATTGTTTTAGAACAAGTACCTTTACTCAAGTACTGTACTTAAGTACAATTTTGAGATACTTTTACATTACTTGAGTATTTTAATGTTTTGCTTTGTATTTCTACTTTCTACTAAATCATGTACTTTTATTCCAGTACATTTATTTAGTACCTTTAGTTACTTTGCAGATTTTGATTAATAATGTGAAATATAATCAACACTTAAATAAGACTTTAGTACCTTGAGTACACGACAATCTACCCTGCAGTATACAAAGGAATTAAAACTAGCTGCACCTTTACCAGCTTTGATAAACACATTAATAATACATCAATCATTATAATTAAAACATGTATTACATATGATTCTGGTACTTCTACTTTTACTTAAGTACAATAACTGAGTACTTCTTACACCTCGGCCTGAAAAAAAAAGTGTTACAAACTTTCAAAACATTTGTAATTGCTTCATTTTTTGGGGGAAAAAAATCCTCTTTTTGGAAATCTACCAGTGACCTCTAATGCCTGCCAGCTTGATCCCTCACACTTCCTGACACATTTTATTTGAGCTCATCTTCATATATTTAAATTTAGCTCAGCTCATCTAGGCATGTTTAGTAGTAGAAGTTACATTTCAAGATATGTTAAGTTGAAATGAAGCCATTGATTGTACATTTATCAATCCTTTATTTTAAATTTTATTTCTTTTAATATTTTGAATTCTTCATCACTTATTTGTGAATCAACCAGGGAACTCAGGAGGTGACTCAGTGGATAAACATGCTCATTAGCTGTCAAGTGTTTTATGTCCACTGGGAAGCAATTAGAAAGTGGTTAATAATGAGAGTAAGATACCTGACCTGCGGACAACACCTTTACACCTTCATGTAATAGTGATAAAACAACACATTATAAATATTGGCTGATGAGTAATACAAATAATTATGTGGCTTTACCTTGTTCTGGCATTTATCATTGTTTTAACTTTCACTCTTCGGCTGTGGTTTTGCGAAAGAACCATGGGGTACTGTTTGAAATACTACATAGTGAAACTTGCCTGTACTGCTACATCCATTGCTAGCATATTTGACCTAGTAACTAGAGCTGTATGTGTACTTCTTCCACCCATAATCATGATCATTCCCTCATATGTTAACATCCTGAAGATATGTTTAACGTCATACAGCACATCTTAGCTCAAAGCCCTCAAGGCTGCACCCCCCACATGCTCTGAGTAGTTAACTTCACTCTTGGGTGCTTTTTTGAAATAGCAAAACATTTCAATATCAGTCACCTGCCTGACCAAATAACTTTTTTTTCTATCACTGTACTTTTTGATACTTCCGTCCATTTTTAATCTGGCAATTTAGGGTTTCGGTATCCGAGAGAAGTGCTCAACTGTTTATGATTTGCAGCAGAAAAAAAGAGGCATGTAACAAATAATGTAGCCACGAGGGCTGTTTCTATGGTGTGTTCAAAGTGAGTCATGCAGGGGGTGAGGATTGATGCCTCTGGAAACACATGACATACAGAATCCTGTCTCTCCATGTTGTTTATTCACATTAGCTATGTACTTTGCCACACAGCATTGTGAAAAACATTTGAGTTCAATTCATGTCGGGTTCCTTTCTAGGGCTTTGTGCACACAAAGTACTAGTTTCGGTCAGTTGTCCATGCTTACTAAATAACAAAAATATATGCTGTGAGGAAATATGTTATATCTCTCACAGGCTCCGCCCTCTACTGGACTCTATGGGTACTACCTTATCATGCAAGCATTCACCTACTGAGATTTCTATGGACGTAGCCGGCCACGGGGCGGGCCTACCTGAATGCGCGCTCATCTCCTGCGGGGCAGGAGGGGGAGAGCCCTCCACACTATAGTCTGTACACACTCTGCACGGGGTCAGTGTCTGAGTGTGGGGACATGGGGGGCACTTGCGCTCTCCCTGTGCTCTCAGGAGAGAGGGTGCATAGTGAACCCATACAGGGCTGCAGACTTTCTCTGTCTGCCTATAGGCGGACGGGGGGGAGCCCTCAGCACTGTTTTTCAGGCACACTTTTTTGCGAGGTAACGGTACGTCCACACAGCAGCGTTAAAAAAATCTTGGAGGTGGGCGTATCTGAAGCTTGGGGATTTTTTGCGAGCAACACGACCAACAACCAATCACATGAATCTCCCGCCCCCAACATACAAAGCAAAAAAGCCCGAAGTAAACTGGATATAAACTCCCCAAACAGGCGAAAACCTACCACTGTCTCTGCCACCTCCTTCCATGCCTGGCTCCTCCGGTTTGTATCCCGGTAGGTAAATAGGGACTGGTCATAAAGCACCGGGTGATTCCCTACCGCTATAATTAATTTCTCCTCCATTTTTTGGAATATGAGGAAATGACCTGCGGTATGTCTCTCCCAGCTTACACGCGGTTTGATTGGCTAGCGCTTGTACTGTCAGATTTGCATAAACGGGATTTGATTGGCTGATGCTTCCACCTCAGCTTCAAAAGTTGAACATTGCTCAACTTTTGAAGCCTGAGATGCCTGGAAATCTCCGCTTTGCTTCCCACAATGCAGTTCGGCGAAAAGTGAGGCAAAGTGACGTCACCCCATTCAAAGTGAATGGGCAGAAGCGTTGGAAGATTTTTTTAACGCTGCTGTGTGGACGGGCCGTAAGCGCGGCAGAGTGTGCTCGGTCAGCCGCAGCCCAGACTTCTCCACGGTCACAACCGAGGGAGAGGTGAGTGAGGCGCAGCGGCTGCTAAAGCCGGTCAGGGACAGTGAGGTGGAACGGTGTGCTGGACGACAGTGCGTGTATACATCGGGGCTCCGCCCACTGTACCCATAGAGTCCAGTAGAGGGCGGAGCCTGTGAGAGATATAACGCCGGGTTACGTATTGTAACCCTTGTTATATTAACACAGGCGGAGCCCTCTACTCAGGGGCACTGTCTGTCCTATACCGCTCGCTGAAGAGTGGTGTAGGATGATGGTCAGGAGGCGAGGCCTCCTTTTATACGGAGGTGAGATGCGCGCGCATTCAGGTAGGCCCGCCCCGGGGCCGGCTACGTCTATAGAAATCTCAGTAGGTGAATGCTTGCATGATAAGGTAGTACCCATAGAGTCCAGTAGAGGGCTCCGTCTGTGTTAATATAACAAGGGTTACAATACGTAACCCGGCGTTTCAGCATTCACTACAAGGTTTTGCTTTTCTGAAATAAATCACGTTTTACCACTGAAACTTTACACATTTGTCTTTCACACTTCTCTGCTTTAATGCTCTGACTACCCACTGTTTGTAATTGTGCTTTACGAAAAAAATATTGTGTCAGGTCAAAGTGCTACAATGAGCTCCTCAGATATGAACTTTTAGTGACAAAAGTCTCAGTCTGTGCATGTCATTTAATGGAGTGTGCAGATTCTAGTGTTCAATTTTGTATAATTTGCGATAACTAAAAAAGCAAACATTTCCTAGTCCCTGTTTGAGATGTTCCCATCATTGAATCATAAATCTGTTATTTTTCTGTCTCCAATAACAACATGAATAATGTAATAGGTTGCTCAAAGCTGAAACTATAATCTTTTTCCACATAATACAAAACATCCAATCAGGTTTACTTGTAAATATAATAAATCATATATTACTGCATATTATTTGCGGGGTCTCTATTCCTCTATTGCCAAAATGTGACATCAAAATGCGTTGTTCACGCTGACTAACTTCAATGAATATGCAGAACAACTCCTACCTTACCATGCACCATTATGGAGACCATCACAAGAGCAGGTGGCAATATAAAGGTCAGTTAGATGGTATTATATATGTAGAGAAATTACACCGTGGCTATGAAAATTGGCTAGTTCACTGTGCTCTGTGTTGCATTCTGTTTGTTTGTGCAAAAATGTGCACATCTTTAAAGGATATACCCGAAAACAATTGCAATGTTCAGTGTACTTTGTGCAATTATTATTTTTGTTTTATTTACAGCCATATTTTGTGCAAAACTACTATCATGTGCAACAACACTAAAACGTACTAGTAGACTGCAGCTAAAACCCCCTTACAATAATTCTTCATTGATCCTGGGGCCCTCTGAATCATAATGCATTTTCATCATCAATAATTAGTTTGTACATACTTACATTGCTTCCTCTTCTGTGTCATTCGTTGTGAATTATATGCACCAAAATAAGAACGCCTGAGGCTTATACACAGGGTGCATGTCTATTCTTTTTGCATATCATTATGAATCTCTGTGTCAACCATTGTTTGGCTCGCTGTTGGAAAAAGTGTCTAAAAATAGTCATCTCAAATGAAATTATGAGAAAAACACATTTAACAATCCTTCTTACGTGTGCTCTTGCCATACTTTATTCAATAAAAAAAGTAGTGTAGCTACAATATGGCACACTTGTGCAATATCAATCAATTTCCAATGGCATGGTAATGTGTTTTAGTTATACAAAGCATGCTTGTACATTAAACACTTAATAAATACAGTAATTTCTCTTAACACTTGAAAAAAAATTACATTTTGCAATTTCCAGGGGCAAATAGTAAAATAAATCTTAAAAACACAATGTGGCGAAGGAAGGGGTCGACACCATTATTCTCTGAAGACCAAACGCACTTAGAAATACAAAACTGTCTTACAAACAATTAGGTAGACGGCATGCATACAAAAATATACAACTATTCTCATCATTTCTTTGTAATTTACAATACTGTTTCATTATTGCCAAGCGTTCTATTTTTGTGCTCCTGTTTTGAGGAATAGCTTGCTTTCTCAATCTTCCCTCGTCCCTCTTGAAAAAGTACAATGTACATTCACAATCACTGAGGCACAGCACTTGATTTACAATTTGTATAAGTACCCCAAAACATTGTGTAGTCAACGTTGTTTAATGTAATATTAAATATATATATACTATATATATGGTTAACACTCTGTACACTCATATCATATCACACATGCATAACAAAATGTTGTGTACATCCAAAATAGCTTTAAATTCCTTCATCAACTAACTGAGCGGCTGTACACAACTCCAGCATAATGTTCCAAACCGTTCAACAGAAGCGCGGGGAGGTGGCCATGCAAGTGAGCAATGATTTACAAAGCCCTCCGTCGAGTCTTTGACACGGACACAAAGTGCTTATTTTCCAGTCATGAACCCTGTTATTTTAACAAGACAAACGTATTTTTTTGCCTTTTTGTAAGAGCCCTCATCTTTAAAAAGAGAGTGGAGAGGGACACAAAGTCTGGGTGCTCCTGCAGGGTGAGCGAGGTTGAATGAAAGAGAAGATGTAGAGCCGAGCGGGAAAAATAAGGGTTTTGGTGCCTTTTATCTCCAGCAGAGGGATGCCAGCGGTGTGAGGCACAGGCAGAGTCCATACGTTTGAGGTTCAATCAACACACTGATCATCAGTCTACCCTAAAAAACCCAAGGACCGGTTTGTGTCTTGAAGAGGAACATTCTGGAAGGAGGTAGAGGTACTGATTAGTAAGTAATAAAACACACGTATGGCAGGAGAGACACAAATGCAAAACAAATAAGTAAGTTACCTTAAGTGAGCTTTGGAGGATCCGGAGGCGATGAAGCTTGTCATTGAGGAGGGGGTCATTGACACGGCGGACAAATGAACGCTTGTACTCGAGGCGGCTGGCTGATCTGTGGTCAGCGGAGCTGGACAGGCTGGTCTGCTCCAGAGCCCGGTACAGATCTCCCAGAGAGTCCGCCTGCATCCTGCAGTCCCGCCGTCCATGGCCTGACGAGAGGACAAGCAATCAACAATGGTTTAACATTACATTGAATTCAAGGATAAGATTCATAAGACACAAGAAAAAGAATACAAGTTAACAGCCTGCAGAATTCTTAATTTAAATCTCCTTTTTTAAACTGAACAAACACACCTAAGAGACAAACGTTAACCAACTAGTCTTAGCAGTACATTTCTCACCGCTCCACTTTAAGAAACTGGCAGTAGCTGTAGCCTGCCTCTGCCCACACATTCACACATTCACATGGTGTTTTCTACCTGCACAGCGTGAATAGGCCGAAGATTTGGCTTGTCAAGGGACTAAGATAAACCATCTTGCTGTCAACCTGCTTTAATTTTAAGTAACCAGGATTTCTTTTATGAAAGAAATTATGTAGTAGGGTTTTTATATAGTACAAAATAAATTGCATCCATCTCCGCTGCATTGTAATGTAATAAGATTGAAATACTCAAGGAGAAGTACCTCAAATTTCTATTGCTCAGTATCTGCTTAAGTGACAAAGATGTATGTACACCAATTCTATCTGCAAATAAAAATTAGTTTTTCTAAATTAAATTACAGTTTTGATTCCTTCCAGTGTAAATAAATGATCTCAACATGCTAAGAAATCAGACTTCCTTAAAAAAAAGAATGTCATGGCAATAAGCTGAATTGAAAAATCATATCATTTTGAACGTGAACAGTTCTTCTGTGAATTGCTTATGGAAGCTCAATTTATTGTAATTATTTTGTGTTTTTCTTTGTCCTCTCCCATTTACTCAGATAATATGATCTTCCACTACGCCTCACAGGATGCACATTTCCACTCTTTGTTACTCATCATGCTGTGGTGTGCCGTTCATTATGGTGTCTTCATGAGTGAGGCGGCACAGCTCATACATAATAATTGACCAGGCCCCCTGTGTTTCATGTTTAGATCCACTGCCCTCTGTTGGCATGATGCTGACACTACACCAGGGCTCTGAATCTGTTTGTCGTCACTCTATTTGGGGGTTTTGGAAGCACGGTGGTGTGTTCTGAAGCTTTGAGGCTGTGCTTTGAAATGTATCAAGCTTTATTTTCCGCCTGTTTTGTGTTTTTGTCTTGTCTTTACAGCCAGTGGTGGAGAGAGTGAACGGTAGAGCAATAGATAAAAGAGGACAAGAAGAAAGGAGCCCAAGGCGTGCTTCTTTATCCTGTTCAGAATTCAACATTAACATGGGCTGAAAGGGTTGCTCCTCGCTTCACCATTCAAACACCGCCGAGAGGCACAATGACATCTCGATCGAGCATGAGAGAGAGGATAGAGAGAAAGAGGGAGCGTGAGTGTGAGAGAGAGAGAGTGGACTGCCAAGATAAATCACTACCAAATAAGACACTAAATTTCATCTCGCCGCCCTGGAGGTCTTTGAGGGACGGAAAATGGGCTGGCTTCAAATCTAATCCAATAAAGCTATAATAGCGAGTGTTCAACCTTTGACATTCGCTGGCTCTGACTGCCTGTCAGCAGCTTTGATAAAATAACTGATGACAAACAAGCACACTGGCTCGACGCTGTGCAGAGGGAAACACTGATGTTACAGTGAGATTTCAGATCACAGCTGTTTCCTGTCAAGCAGAATACCTCAAATACCCCTTCATCAACACCAAACCTCATGCAGCAAATATATTGAAGTTTATTTTAGTCACTATCAACATCATTTTAAACTAAATGTTTATTTTAGTTAATTTAGTACCTTAAAAAAAAAAAGATTTCTACTTTATTATTTACCTTTTGAATGGATGTTTCATTTTATTTGTGTGAACTTATTACTATATTTTTTCTTAAGTTAGATTGTGTGTTGCTTTAAATGCCATACTGTGATCACTCAGTTCCATTTTATGTTTAAAAGTCGCTACAATTATACATTTGATATTATTATCTTTAAAACCTTTTTTATAAAAATTGATGCATTAATAAAAGAGATCACAGAGATCCTGAAAATGTCCATGTTTAAAATGTTCAGTAAAATGTTGAGTGGGACAGCATAGCTGAACATTTCAAGGATTTTTCCATAATTTCTTCACTTCTCACTTGCAGACTCATTGTCATCGCAGCAGGTGGTGTTGATGTGCTAGAAGAGCCTCAGCTTAGTGGGAAGCACTTCCTGCAGTTGTTATTTAATAAATATTAGCCAACTTAATCCGTAATCATATTTGTCTATTTTCCTTGAAACACAAATATGTAGATAGAAGTTTTTACCAAATCATAATTTCTTCTTTCTCTTACCATCTGAGCTACTTCACCTTCTCTCCAAGTTTACCCTTGTTAATTTATGAATGATAAATCATCCATGTTTGATGTAGGGTTGCAACTAACAATTATTTATTTTATTTGTCTTCTATTTTTGTTGCAACTCATCAATGTATCCTGTAGTCAGAAATGGCTAATGTCAATAAAAATGTCTACATTATTTTATACTGAAATGTTTAATTGATTATTACAATTGTTTGTTAAATTGCAGTCAATCATTTCTATGGATCAACAAATTAATTAGTCAAGTTTTGGTTCTAGTCTGGTGAACTACACTGTATTTTCTCCAACAGGGTTATAACTTTAAGGGTCTACGTTTCATGTGAAAAGGTGTAAAACTGCTGTGTGTCTGACCACTGCCTCTGGGCCGGTCCAGCTGGTAGTGGTGGGGCTCTCGCTGGTCGGCTGCAGCGGCGGTGGCGGCCAGGATGGCGTGGAGCCCGCTGTCCCGGGGGAGGGTGAAGCTGCGGGGTTTCCCTCCCACGTCTGAGTCGATGCTGGACCTGAGGGGCAGCGGCAGCGCTCGGTACTGTTCCTTCAGCAGGCTGCGCTGGGCGGGCAGGGTGGACTGCCTGCGGTACTCCATCGCCAGGTGGTCTCTGTCCTCAGGACGCAGGGGCTCCTCCACTGGGAACGTCTGGAGGTATTGCATCCTCACGTTGCTCTCCATCTGGTCCTGCCAGGAGTTTCGGTGGATGCTCGTCTTCTGCCCGGGGGAGACGCCGTTGTTGCTGCTGCTGCCGTCCAGAGGCTCGGAGTGGAAGTCGTCATGAGAGGAGCGGGAATGGAACGTGTCGGAAGAAGAGAGGTGGCCACGTTTCGGTTCCAGGTAGGGACTCACCTAAACACAGACAGACAGGTTGCAAGTGAAACTGAAAAGTTGTAACATATCTACTGTACTACAGGCTGAAAGACTCACTGAGGATGCCCGGGGATAGGTGTCATATGGTGGTGGAGGACTGTCCTGTTTGGACATCGAGGGCATCTCCATGTCCTCGTGATCACTCTCACTCCAGTAATCTGTCAGTAACAGATTGTCATGTTTTTATTAAAACAGCAAAATAAAAAAACAAGCCCTTTAAAATGCATAAAAGACAATGGACCATGGCTTTTGAGACTGTAGGTACATGTTAGTAGCTGATAACATATGAAAAGTTAGGCTACTGAACTGCTGCGTCTTGAAACATCCGCTGTGCCCATAAAATGAGAGGTGTAGCTGCAGTGTAGGTGTGTGATGCAGGTCCAGGTCTGACTACCGTTGAGGCTATATATGGAGACGGATGAATCTAAGATGTGAGAACTTCCTGTTAAGTCTTCTGGAGGTGGCTAGGCTCTAATTTAGTAACATTTCTGGGAAGGAAAAAGGCCCCCTCTTCATGAAACCAAAGACAGACCTGATCTCACCCGCCCACATTTGCAGGGTTTCTACGTAGGCTCCTCAAAATAGAGCACAAGGGCTTGGTTACATCATTTCCTGTCCATTTGTGAGGGGCCAAAGAAAACCAGAATATAAAAAACAACAAGAACGCCTTCAGCCGCTAAGATTAGCATTTATATTCAGCACAAAGCAGATCTGCTGGGATCGGATGTGGAAATTAAAACCGGGGAGAGGTGTTAAAAAGCCTCATTTGCTGATCTGGAATCTGTTTGCATGTTTGAGCAGATGCACTGAGATGCTGCTGTGAACCTGTGATATGTAATTAAAACCTTGTCAAATGAAGAAGTGGCAAAATAATTATCCATGCGTTCGTCATCATTCGGTTATATAAGATTCCTTGATCATGGTGTTTTATATAAGTGTTGACCAGAGACCTGGGACAGACGGAGAATCTTTTGCAGCACGGTGAACAGTGACTAATCTCACCTCGGTCCTGGCGAATTTTCTCCTGCTCGGAGTATCCTGCCACTGCCATACTAAGACGACTCAGCCACCTGTAGGGGGAGAATAACGCTCATGACGCACAGCAGCTTGACATTCAATAAAGCATTTTGTGTGTGTGCGTGTCTCCCTGTTCGACCAATCACCTTACAAAAGTGCTCTGTTCAAGGAGAGTGGGCAGACCCGTAGGGGGATTCAATTTACGGCCAGAATGTGGCTGCAGATTATTGGGGGAGTTTACAGCATGACCATCACGGCCTCATAAACTCACCGGGACATGTCGTCTACATTTTCCGCCGCAAAGTAGAAGGTCTTTATCTTCGGATGGCAAGCCTTGAAAGCACTGAAAGAGAACCAAGGAGTATATTTAAATCATATGTAAGCACAAGAGCGGGGACGTATAGCTCATTAACATATGAATACAGAAGATTGTCGAGGTAAACGGGCACACTGTCACACACACACACACACACACACACACACACACACACACACACACACACACACACACACACACACACACACACACACACACACACACACACACACACACACACACACACACACACACACACACACACACACACACACACACACACACACACACACACACACACACACACACACCACACACACACACACACACACACACACACACACACACACACACACACACACACACACACACACACACACACACACACACACACACACACAGAACAATTCAGGCTGACATGAAAACAGCAAGACGTTGCATCATAAGATAAACGGCTCTGCTTATTTTTTCAATTGCTGTAGGGATGTCTGAGTCAGTATCATCAAGCATGCTCGTCCGTGCATACACACACAATCCTGAAAACGAGATAATGAGGGGCATGGTTGAGATACATATGTGAAGGCAACACCCTTATGATTTTCAAGTCATAAGAGAACAAAATTCAGTTTTACATTTCTACTCTAATAACTTATTTTATTCCATAATCCCATATATGTACTACTGGTAGTTTCAGTCCTCTGCATCGATAACATTCTCATATCCACAGTTATAATAAGGCCATAAATGTGTGCACCTGCTGTCTTACTATACTAAAATGCTGCTGGCACAGTTTGCAAGTGCAAACAGTTTGAGAGTCAGGTGTCCTCTGTAAATTGTCCGTTTTGCATGGTCAATCCCCCAAATTATTCAGTATATATGCCAGTTTCTTTCCTGCCGAGAGGCAATTTGCACAAGGTTACCGCTGCACTGAAAACACATTTGTAGGATTGTAAATTCAACATGAGGTCTCTGCTGTCAGTTTTGTGAAGGTTTATCTATTAGTATTAACTTTTGTCATATGTTTAGGCTAAACGTAAAGTTAATCTAAGGAAATGTATCCTTGGGGTATCCAGGAGGAAATCAGTACTTACTACTTCCTTCTGCACTCAATGGCACGATCGATGTTGAACTCTGGGAGGCTGACAAAGCCCTCTGCCTTCTCATCCTGTAATGCAAAGCAGAGAAAAACCACAGTGTCACATAGTTATTAAACAATTCACAAGTAATGCTGTTAATTGCTCTTCTGTCAAAATCATCAACAATAATTTGTACCTCCTCGTTCATGTACCAGTACAGACAAGTGTCTTTCAGGATGAACCAGTACTTCTTCCACTTCTGTGAAAAATAGGTTTTAGCATCCTTCTTTTTCCACAGCCAGCCCTCGCAGTCGCCCTGACCCAGGTCTCTGCAGGAAATCCGCCGCTTGCTGATTGAAGACATGGGACTTGCTGCTGCAGGCGCCAGCAGGGGAGCAAGACAGATGGGGGTGTCAGAAAACACTCCTCCAAAAACACCTGCTCGTGTTTGAGCTTGAGTACATGTGAGCACTCAAGGATATCTCCTTACAAAATGCTCTCACCTTTGCACTTCTTCTTTGACCTTGACATCAGCGAGGAACGCTCAAACACCTGCAAAGCAAACAAGAATGATGACACAGGAGGATCCCAGTTCTGCTTTTATGCTAGCTTACGACACATTTGTTTAAATGTAATGCTCAGACATAGGGGACTGACATGGTAGAGGGAGGCCGAGTCGGAGCTGGATGTGGACAGGGACACCTCCATCTGCAGGGCGGGGACCAGCGTGTACTGGGTGGGGCTGCTTCCTCGCTCAGTCTTCCTCCTGTTCTGACTCAGGCTGCGTCCCAGCAGGAAGCCCTCCCCCGGGGCTTTATCTTCACTCGCAAATCGCAGCAGGGAGTTCTCTGCAGGGACACAACAGAGCAAAACTCAGTCCTGCACACACACACACATTTTACTTCATAATCGACTTCAAAATGCCTATACGGTTCTACTGAGTGTGTTTGAATTACAACATGCTGCACCATTTTAGAACCCTCACTTTTAAATAAACTCTGTAGAGTGATTTTCCATCAAGACTATGAGCTGTTTACTAATTGTGGACCAATATGGGTCTTTCAATGGCAAATGCCTATATTTAGAGAGCAGAATGGATGTTGATTTTTTTCTTAAAATAATTTAAGAGCAATAAATGACATCTGACTTATTTTACATTTAATTAACAGTGCCTTAAAAAACAGCGTTTATCAATAGATAGCAGAATCTTCTCCAGAGGCAATACATATCTTTTAAAGAGGCCCTATAATATATGTTGGGGTTGCTCTCTCCCGTAGTGTGTTATAGGTATTTGTGCATGTAAATGGTCTGCAAAGGCTAAAATCCCAAAGTTCCCTCCAGAGGGAATTTCTCTCCCACACACTCCCCCCCTGCCTGAAAGGCCTCCATTGGACTCCTTTGTTAACTTCCATAACACAGTGACTACAGTAAGTAACAATCACACTTCTATTGGGTAGTGCCGCAACCTTTATATATACACACAGTCTATGGCTACAACGCTACAATACGCGATAGGCTAAGGGAAGGGACCTCTTTAAGCGGTTGACCAATCACAACAGAGACGGCAAGCTAACCAATCAGAGCTGAGTGGGCTCAAAGACCTTTGTGACGTTAAGGCATATAAACATGTCACAGTAAAGGCAAACAATACAATCATGAAACCTGAAAATGAGCATAATAGGGCCCTTAAACTTACACACATAAATGTAACAATGCTTAGTGGCTTTCCCTGGTGTTCTACTGTATATACAATATTATAATTAATAAACAATAAGCCTTGTGAGCACACAAATCAGCTGATGACAATCATCTCAACATTTTATTTTTGGTCTCGCAATACACTCAAACCACATATAACAAGAGTTTATGTCACAACACTGACAATAAATTCTTATGTAATCTACTGTAAGACCAGTCAGTTTGAAAAGCTCTCTTTCGAAATGAGATAGTGCTGATGTTTCAAAACCTACAGAAGAAGGCTGTTGTCAGGCAGGAAACCCTCAAAACTTCCAAATACTGTCTCTTGTAGATAAATATAGCACAATCACTTTTTTTTGGAAAGCCCAAAAGAGCAAAATATCACCATCATCCCCAGAGGAAACAAAACCATCAATCAAGTATTTCTTTGAGACTGAAATAAAGCAGTTCAGTCTCCTCCCACTCATTTACCACCTAGACCCACAGTACCAACAAAATGTGCAAATCTCAGGATATATCTCTACAGTTGCCAAAGCAACGGTGTACTTTTTATATCCAAACAGCGAGAAACGGCAAAGCTGAGAGCGGGAGGAAGGGAACATTGGAGCAGTGGTAGATTGCGAACACATGGAGGAGATCGAGGCACAAACTGATATCCAGCATGTTATCGGTTTTGACAGACCAGCTCATCCCTCTATTTCTTGGCCCAGAGATCTGAGAGGGTGAGGATATTATGAGATATCCACCCACTCACCTTAGCTCCCTGTCCCTCTCTGTCTCCCTCCTTTCTCTGCCTCCCTTTCTGTTTATCTCTCCCACTGCCTCCCACTCACCTCTCCTGCTCTCTCTCTTTATCTTGGCCAGGTCTTCGTTGTCTCCCACCCAGTTGTATTCCACCGGCATGGAGATGGGCCTGAGCCTGCCTGCAGCAAGGAGGCGCAGGGAACGTCAATATCACACAGCGGCCCACACACACATCAAACAGCTGCAGACGTCTCATAAACATCTCAAAAGCGTCACATTCGCAGGGCTCTGAGCTGTCGGCTCTCACAATTATAGCAGCGAGGCTTCAGACGAGGCCGAGGTCTTACCATAGGTGGGCGTGCTTCCCCTGCGGGCCAATGACGCCTCTTGGTTCTGGTCGTACTCGTAACAGTACAGTATAGCATCTTCCTCCACCAGAGGAAATCGCCGCCGACACTCCTGGTCCAGGTAGGAGTTTGGTGACTCAGATCCCTCGGCGACATGGACCACGTCCAATTGAGGATCTTCCTCTGACAGATTTCCCTTGTCATCTCTGAGGCAATGGAGAGGAAATACATTTAATGCCAGTGAAGATATTGATCATAAGAACCAACATCTGTAGCATGTAGAGCAGGGGTGCCCAAACTACCGCCCGCGGACCATTTTGAGTCGGCCCTCAGTAAATTCAAAAAGTATAATGGAGTATGGCCCACAAATGAAACTTGTGCTTGTCTTATATTGTACTTCTTAAATATGAATGTAAAAATATATTACACAGTAGTATTCATGTGTTAAGACCACTTTTCAAATAAATTCACAAATTCACATTTTCTAACATATCTTAGTTGATAAGAAAAAAGCCAGGCCCAGTTCCAGAACAAAATGACTCAGGGTGCATCTGAGATTAGAGAGGGTGCAGGGGTAAAGTGTTATTTTTATAAGTGGGGAGTGTACCTAACACCCTCTGTCTAGGGGGTCCTCACCTCCTCTAGGGGGGTCCGGGGGCATGCTCCCCCGGGAAGATTTTTTAAATATTGAAGTTAAAAGCATCAATCTGGTGCACTTTGAGAGCAAAATGAAGAGATCTATGGATACATCTCTCAACACCCATATGAAACAGAACTGTAAACAGATTTACTTTTTCTTTATGGATATTTTACAAATCAAACTGTATTCTTGTTTTACTGTCATATAGTATTTCATTTTTAGTGAGTGAGTTACTCAGATGAGTACCAGGAGACATCGGTTGGTACTCTGGTACAGTTGTGGTGAAGGCATCTGACGTACTTGAACCGAAATGTCTACATGCATAGCAGAAGATGGCATCTTTTTTACATGAATATTCCAGCCAATCTCTGGTTTTAAACCATGAGCTGCAAAATGAGCGCCTTAACCCACTGTACAGGCGAGTTGGGTACTTTTTTAAATATACCTGCAGGCGGGCAAAGCCGGCGAGTCGGGCGGGAGGACGTTAGTGTCCACGACAGTGGCCGCGGGTAACGTAATGTCCCCATGATCTGAACTGTTATTACCTGCAGTAGATGCAGTGTTACTGCTGGCGATAAGGGCTGGTTGTTTTAACCATTTTCTGATGTCCATTATTGACTACAGTATATTCTTCTTATTATTATTATTATTATTACTACAATTATTATTATTGTTATTATATATGTAATATTTTTCACTTTAGATTTTTTATTTTACACCCTTATGCACCCCCGTAGAACCGGGCCTGAAAAAAGCCCAATGACTTATTTACATAACAAGCTTGAAATAGACCCTTCCTATTTCTCCTTATTGTAATCAATCTGAGGCTTCTGTTTTAAGGGATGAGCTGCCAACACTCACATGCATCATTTACCTACATTTGATTAATTTTGCTAACTTATAACTGAACTTCTGAGGCAATATACCTCTAGTATATGAAGTGGCCCAGCCCTTCGTATTTTTTTCTGTATGTGGCCCTCAGTGAAAAACGTTTGGACACCCCTGAAGTAGTGTCAAAAACAGCCACGTTTTTCGTTAAAATGTTGAATCTGGCAATATTCTGTACAGTTTATCTGTTGTGGTCAACAAAGCCCACGAAAAGAACAAAGCAACAATGTTTGTGTCGTTATACTTTCTAACTTATTCATCCTATCTGTGGCCATTAGTCCTAAATTCATTGGTTCTGTTGTAAAAAAAAATGAAAATGCCACTAATGGATACACTAAAAAGACTGCTCCATCGGACTTCCAATAATAAAAAAACTCAGCAGTTATTTAGTAATGCAGGCACGTCTATATGTTTTTTGTGTGTAAGTGTGAGTTCACCTGGGGGTGTAGGGTTCTGCGGGGGGAGGGGGGATGAAGAGGTCCTGCAGGGCACAGCTACTCCTCCTGGATGGAGTACTTAAAGTGCTGGTGGGGGTGGCAACGCTGCTGCTGGGGCTCTGAGGGAAGATTGGCTGTGTTTGAGTGAATGTGTGTGTGTGTTTGTATGTGTTATGTGTGAGCATGAGCAAAAGAGAGAGAGACAGGCCGACAGAGAGAGAGAGAGAGAGAGAGGAACAGTTACGAGAATTAACACATAGAACATTTGGAGTTCACCGCAGTCCAGTCAGTTTGTGAGTCAGGGACCATTTGTTCGCTTCACACTGTGTTGCTGAGCTTCTCAACCGTGAAATGAGCCGTGTACTGTACATTTCTGATGCTCCACTTCTAACGAGTGCACACAAGAAGACGGGTGAGTGCGCAGTCTAATCGCCACTCTCATTCAGGTCAAGGAAAATCTGGTCGTAGCCTACATAATCTGTTAAGCAGCTCATGTTCATGTTCCTAGTTTATACACGATGCCTTTAAAACTAAATATTTATTATCTTTTAGCTACATATATGATATGATTATATCAGCAACTTCACTTCGGTGAGATGTAATCAAATCACAAGAAGCCTGTTGTGCAGTGATAAAACATGAACTTCTACAAAAAACACTTTAGAGCTTATTAAATGAGTAAGAACTGAGACTCTTGCAACAGTAGAATACTAATTTGTCACTGCTCAAACTATGCAAATATGTTGCGTAACTCACAGCTGACTAATATCAGCAATGTATTAACGGGAGATGTGCTCCATCATTAGACCATTATGTGCGTTAGAGCTACAGCAGGGCTTCCACAGCACAATGTTCTTTTCAATAACTTAACAGACTACCTTGACATTGTTAATTTTAGTCACATTGCAGAGCAGAACACATTAGTTTCTATGATGCCCCCCCCCCCCCCGCACCCCCACCCTTTCTGTCCTTTAAAAAATGCCAGAAGGAGAGCAAATTCGATTTAGGTGGAGAAGAAGAATGAGGATGTGTAGTGAAGGGGGAGGAGGCTGAGCAGGACAGAGCTTCTGGGCCTCAGGGGGGAGAAAACATTTTCTCTGGCCTAGGACTCAAAGAAAGGCTGGGCTCCATTAATACGCAGCCCTCTCATTTCCACCCATTCTGGCTCAGTCGCACGGTCCTAAAAATGTGCTTTGTTTGGCCGAAGTAGGACAACAGATGCCACTGAGGCCTGAAATGTCACATTGTGAATGAATTATACTGGAAACTCCAACCAATTAGTAGCAGGTAGTGCTACATAAAGGAAGTGGAAGCTTTAAAAAGAATACCTGGGCAATTCAGTACAAAACCCATAGCAACCACTCTCTGAAAAGGATATGGTTTACAAAGCTAATTTAAGATTTAGGGATCATTTTGTTAAAAATAATTGATTGCACCCTATAAGTGGTAGTAAAGAAGAGACACTACAGTAGAATAGTGTAAAAAATGGACACTATGAAACGTCCCAAGTTAATTACTTAATTACATTTTTGTTTAAATGTCTTGTTTGAATAGGAAAATAAGGCATTATCTTAAATAATAGAAGAACAAACCCTTCAGTAGAAAACTGTTCTGGCTCAGTGATGCAAATTGTCAAACCAGAATAAAATTAATGTTTCCCTTCCACTCTGAAAATAACAGAAGCAAAATAGTCCAAAAGAAATTGACCACTGCATGACAAAACATGCTTCTGCCAGAAGTGTCTCGCTCTCATTTATTTTTTTTATTTTAAAGATAATTCTTTGTTTTTGTCTCTTTATTTAGAACAGTCCCAAGAGAAGAAAGGGAAAGAAAGGGGATGAAATAGAGCAAAGAAACGCAGGTCAGATCCAACACGGGCCATGTTTTCTCTGAACCCAATCTTCACTTTGTACTATTAAAACTTGATCTTTTGCTATGTCTAATGTCCAGAGTCTTTGGGGTCTTAGTTTTTTAACAGACCGAAATACAGAGATATACACATACAAGTACATGTTGACACACCAACAGGCATGCACAAACATATCTGTGGAGGATGAAAGTGGTCATCATACTTGCAGGGCCAACGGTTTCCATCTCATGTTCTTGAGCAGCGCAGGGGTCGATGTGAGCGTGCTCTGTGGGCGTTTCTTCAGCGTCAGGGTGACACCTGCAGGGTCCCCACGCAGCAAGTTCACCAAGTTCTTCAGCTGCCAGCCCACCTAGCAAACAACAATCGTGTGATGAGTGATTTCTCGACACACAGGCATTCCCATGACTCAAGCTTTAACATGAACATCCAGTAGGTGACTAGTACAGGGATTCAATGTACATTCACTCCAGTTGCCATTTTAAATACTTAGGTGCCAACAATGTTCCCTAGTTCACACATGTCTTGGATAGCCTTTTTTATGCCCAGCCTACTTTCATGCTGTTGTGGTCGTTATTTTAATAATAGACAAGATCTTGATGGTTGTAAACTGCAGCACAGCCTCTGAGTTTGATGATGATGAGGTTTTGAAATGCAGAGTTGTGTGCTGAAGGGCATCTTGTACACCTCCCGTATTATCCGTCTGCAGGCGTTGTGATGAAGTGGTAAACCCGATGTTATGTACAACTGCATGTCTTGTAAATAGTCTTTAACCCAGTTTTTATGACATTTGGCACAAAAACATCTCGCCCAGAGAAACACGGTCCACAGCTGAACCAAATATGCCAGGTTCAGTTTGCTTGGCTGACTGCTCCGAGTCTCAGTACATTTTATGTGTTCAGAGCAGCCTGAGAAACCGGGCAATGACCTAGCAATCACTTTGTTCCTTTCCAAGTCATTTTTCACCTTGGCAACCACTACACAATAAATCTTCACACAGAAAGTGCATTAAAATATACCGACAGGCTGAAACAGACACTTTGATACTCAAAGGCAGCTTCTATGATAAAACATTTTTTGCTGTGTCAGACCATATAAAATGTGTTTATTGAATCAGTAAAACCCATGATTTTTAGCTTCTTCTTTTGTTCAACTATCTACTGCTTTGCCTTGGTAAATACTTTTTATTCTTTAAAAGGTGTTTCACATAAACCGTCATCCCAATGGTTTTTCTTTCTTTAATCTCCTTTCTGGGATTTTTTTTTAACACTGCAGTGTCAAGATTTACCATCCTTTTTGTTAATGTGTCTGAAGCCCTCCTCATTTATTGACCTGCACCAGAAATGCAATCTATTCTTGCTGCCTAGAGTTATTTATGTCTGACATGCAGTCTTTATTCTTGTTTTACAGCCTTTCAATCATGTGCCCAATAGCTTATTCAACATGAGATATAACACTTTGAGTGTTAATCAAAAGGCAGCTTTTGCCTGGGAGGAGTTTTTCCTTCATTACTTTCCTTTGGTTGATGCAACTCCTTACCTCAGCACTCATTGCTTCTCATGATCCTTCTTAGACTGCCTCCCACAACAAACATGTCTAGTTCAAAACAGTATCGACTTGTTTCTCCAAATGTTTCATCCTAGCTAATGCCTCCCACTAATGGGATGTTTAGAAACAATTAAACACCAGGAATGTGTTCTGAACTTTAGACCACAGTATATTAAATGTATTAATAATGTTAAAGCTGGTTATGGCCGTCATTATGAGTGACAGTGCATTTTTTATGTGACGGACACGTCTACTCAGTTTTCATATTGCCATCTTCGACCACTTAAACTGTCAAACTCGAATATAACAACATACAGCAAGTACAACAATATAACCCTCACTGCATAGTTAATACATAAGTAACAAACATGAATAAATATTGGATGATCCAAGACAACTGATGTCAGTCAAGCTGCAGAGTTGAAAAGCTGCTGCCAATCAAAGAATAACATAAATCATGACTGGTTTTGTGCAAGCCGAGCCTTCTGACTCATCATTAACGTAATTAATTACACCTGTGCTTTTCCTGCTATGACAGTTTAAGGGATCTGCCATGGAAAGGTCCGTTGGGATCCAGTGTAAATCTTTTGGTTCCCCATGAGGAGAATGCAACGACACCTCCGCACTCTTGCTTTAGTCAGCCTTCAAACTGCGCTTCAATGAGATGAAAGAGTCTTGACACCAATTTCGACTCTGCATTTGCACTTATTCTTTGTAAAAAATGGCTGCATTCAGTGGGTGAGTTGACTGACTGAAATGAACCTGGCTTGAGCTTTGTAATTATCATTCGTCTTGCTGTTGCGCACACAAGTAGCAATTATTTCAGACAAAGGCTGCAGTATTTAAATAGTGCGCCACCAAAAGCTTTCATTTCCACTGAATTTGTACAATGCTATGTACAACAATGAATTGCAACATCCCCAGCAAAGGACCTTTGTTGCATGTCATTCCCCAACAGTCTCCACTTTTGTCTTCCTGTTACAGTATGTCTCTACTATGTATCTTATAAAAACTAAAAACTACATTTAAAACAAATGCACCCAAAAATGTGCTTAAAATGAACTCTTTGAAAGTTGTCCCTCTCTAATAGGAGCAACCAAACTATTTCAAATTTTAGAGGAATGTCAATGAAGCACAGTCTACACACAGCCACCAGGTCCTGAGGAGGGGTGTAATTAATGGTAAATACACCTGTGTAAGTGCCTCATGGGTATCTGGGAGGTTAAACGTTACTACAGTGTTTTGTCTGGGGTTTGTTAAGGGCCCTAAGCAGGTACCTCTCGATGGACTCATGTGCTCATGTAATCACAAGTTCAATGATTTCAACTGACCATCCATCGGACCCTCCAACGGGCAAATAAACACATTTAACCAGAGATAAATATCCGCATCCTACAAAACGACCTATAAGAGGCACTACAGCCATCCACTTATACAGGAACCGCTCCAGAAGAGCTAACTGTGGATGTTCTGCAACTGCATACACACAATCTGAGGCAGGTTCTTTACAAAACAAGCATATCATACAAAAATATATATATTTGTTTTTATAGCACTTAAAAGGTTTGGCTTATTTAAAGTTAATGTACTTGCTTGATTCTTGCTATGCCGAGTTTGTATCCTCATTGACTTATGATAAAAGAGTCAGTTAAATGAAATGTTATGGTATTAAACAAAATGATATTTGGATAAACAATCTTCAAATGCAAAATGGACATAATTTAGGCAGTAAATATAATAAACACATCAAATAAATAATGGCCTTACCACTGTCTGAAGATTGACCTGAATGACTTCATCTCCAGCATGGATTTTCTTGCAGCGGTCAGCCAGAGACTGATGGACAGACAGAGAGTCATTTACTGCAGCTCCATTTCACGGCACAGCTTACTGTGACACGACCATAAGTGACACACCTCACTCCACAAATTAAACTACAAGTGAATGGGCAGTGAGGCCAAGAACACAAAGAGGCTTGTACTTACTCCTTCTGTTGTCCCGGTGATTACATGCAAACCATCATATGTTGATTTGATATACATGCCCTGAGGGAAGAAAGCAAGAATGTAAATGATTACATCACAAAGCAAACTTAAGGCTCTTTTAACAAAATGCATTTGCAGCCATTTGCAGAACAAACCAGGGCTATTGCAATCCATTTGTGTTAATCTGCTCGTAGTGCAAGATAGGAGTAGGAGTTTTGATTTGTCTCAATTATTTAAAATATATATATATTAAGCTGCAGTGCAAGTCAAAACTATTTTACTGAGCTTGGCTTTGCAAATGTTAAAATGACAAAAGAAAGGTCCTTAAATAATATTGTCAAACATAAAAAGGCACAATATGATTTAAATCATGTAGTGAATCCACTCAAAGCTTTTTAAAGCAGACTGAATCAAACATGGAGGATTATTTTTCTGCAAATACGGTTGTCTGTATACGAGCTAAAGGTTTCCACTAAAAGGGGTCTAAAAGGCCTTGCAAAGATGCATACACACAATCATACAAACACACACCCAGACACACATTCGCACACAGATGTGCATGAGTAAACATGTACACTCTCACACAGATACACAGAAGCAGCATGCCAGCCTTCAAGATGAGTGTAAGAGGTTTATTTTTAGGCCACTTGGTCCACTGCTGTGTTCAGGTTTCACTGAACGGATGAGAGAACTTCCATGCCCCCTGCTAGCGTTTGTGTGGGGGTGGGGCTTTTATTGTGGCCCCGAGCAGGGCGCTCGTGCCTGAGTATAGGTCAGTGGGAAGATGGAGTCCAACCACGAGCTCATAGTTATAATGTGGTGGGAAAAAGAGATGTCCCTGCCACTAAATCCAGAGCCTACAGTTTGTCCCCAGAGTGAGTGTATTCGTCATGTGTTGCATGCAATTGCTAATTTAAGCATTTTCTATTTTGTTCATTTTAACCTTCACCACATGTTTTCTATGTTGCATTTTATCACCTGACTCATATGCCCACAAGCTCAGGAAAAACCTAGTTTTAGGACGGCTACAGTGAGCTTCATTTGACACTGGACAGTAAAGCAGAGCATCGTCTTTATGTCTTTTTTCATTACTCTCTCGTTTTTAAATGTTAAATGCTACCACGAATCATCTGGATGTAAACCGTGAACAGCAAGGGCTCTTATTAACCCAAGGAAATGTGGAGTTAAGATGTCTTCTATATCTCGTCTAATATTTCAGATCCCTCAAAACATGTGCAACAAAACCAAAAGTATTTGCATGACTTATATTTAGAAGTATATCAACTGTTTCTTTTATTCTTTACAATTTAGTTCAACCAACTTAGCCTGTGTGCTCCATGTTGCCAAAATTGTAGAGGTTTACAAACTCTGATAAAGCTGGCAGAATCAAATCAGGCAAGGTTAGTATTAGTGATTGAGCAACTGAATTGTTTATGTTTGCAGTGAGTGAGATGCATGCTGCAGGATCATTTGCACTTGCCATATTTGAATCAAACTCATGCTGTTGCCATTTCTGTGATTAGTTTTTCCACCATCCATCATTATTAGTAGATATGTACTTTACTTTTTTGGTAGCTTTTGCCTGTGTTCATTTCATCAAACCTGAAAAACAATTTAACATTTTAATAAAAGCGTACTCAAGTGTAATAAAGATAATAATTGAATAGGCACGTACCACATGTGTGGTAGGGTATTGGGTTTGTACGATTGTTACATTGTTGTGATTACTGCAATTTATTTCTTGCAATTTTCCTGTCATTTGTCAGGCTGGTATTTAAAACAGAGCATCCTCTAATGGGTAGGATGGTCAATTCTGCAGGTCTCCCTTGAAAAAGAGATAATTGATCTCAATGGGATTTCACCTGGATAAATAAAGGTTTTGAATTTAATTGAATTGAATTAGGAACTTAGCATGGTAATTACACCTTGTGGTTTCTTCTTACCTGTAGATCTATTTATAAATCAATATTTTTTGGGCACGGGTAGCCAAATGTTAGAGGTATTTGCTTTTCTGCTAATGGAATTTAATGGCGATCGGAAACCGTATCACCGTGCAAAAGGAAGCGTGCATCCACTCATTAATGCTTACTCGTTGGCGAGTGTAGTTCAAAAAGAAAATAAATAGCTCCTACAAGAAACAGCTCCCAAATGGCAACTCATATCAATTTAGATGACTAAATAGCACTACTATTTTGGGGTGATCTGTCTGAGTCTGACGGGGATAGCCTTACCAGTCCTTCAGTAGATTTTATGTTGGCTAGCTGCACAACCTCCAGATGTGCAGCCTGGGACACCATGGGATCCGAGGACAGAGCGATAATCTGGTCGCACACTTCTGACAGAGTTTTACACTGGGGAGGACATATAAGGGATGAGTAAAACCTTAAAGAACGGGCATTAAATATGTATTTACATCGGATCCAGTGTAATAAAGTCAGAAACTCACCACATGCAGGATTTTGTTTTCGGTTTCGTACACAGAGCATTCCTGGGGAACATTCAGAGAGCACTATTACCTCCAGAGAATGTGTCAAAATGGAGTTATTATTGGCATTTTTTGCTGTAGGTGGTTTTAAGCAAAAACCGAGCAGCTTGGCACCTATAACCCCCAACACTCCCACACAGGCATGCACAAACACAAAACAAATGAATCATCAATGCGGAGGCATGCCTCTCTCTCTCTCTCTCTCTCTCTGCTAGTCTTCCTCTCTCAGCCTTCAACTCTCTCCCTATCGCCCTATTTCACTCCCACCTGCAATTTTTCCTATTTACATTTTGCTCTTAACTTGATATAAACATTCTCATCCACAGAGACCGTCCTAAAACCAATTAAACATCACTTGGGTCATTATTAACAGATTCTGGAGGGTTGCACAGGGCTGTGCTCATCATCATGTTTAGGCCAAATACAGATGTACCAGTAATAAAACATGTGATCAATTATCAAATTTCATGTGATCTGCAATGCCTTTTTGTTTTGCTGAGACACCTGAATTTCCCTACGGGGATCAATAGGGGTTTATCTTATCTTAAATATGTAATCTAGTAATCTATGTAAACCAGAATATTTGTGCATAAACAGAATAAAGTTAATATTTACATCCATGGTTGGTTATCTGACCTGAAGTCATTAAGTGAGACATTTCTTTAGTTTATCTGCATCAATACATAACCAACTTTGGTACCACTTTACAATAAGACTACCCTTATAAAGGATTCATAAAGGGTATATAATTAGGTTATTAATTAGGTTGTAAACACTTTATTAATCATTAAGAACCATTTATAAACCAGTTCTAATGTAGTTTTCATACATCAACACAGGCTCACTGTTTGGCAAGATGACTAAGCCTTATATTGGCTACCTAGCTTACTTCGTCTTCTTCATCAGCCAGCATCCTTGGTATCTGTTGTTCACTGAGTTGATTCTCCCCCTTCCATCTTGATGTTTCTTGGCATCTCTTTATGACCATTTATTTATGAGTTGCTAACATTTATAACTGCCAAAAGGGAGCCTTGTAAAGTGTAAAACACATTCCCATTTATTAATGAGTTACTACCAATTTGTATTGTAAAGTGTTAAACAAATCACCATTTATTAATGAGTTACTAACATTTATAATTAGTTTAAGTTATATTAAGCCTTAAAGTTATGCATAAATTAGGGTGTGGTCACATTGAATGACAGGTCTGTCAAGTGACTGCTGCTGTTAGCTTTCTGCTCTGCTAGCATCTCCGTGATGCTACAGGGGCTCTGCCTGCTCAACTCATCCGGGGAGCATAACTTGAACTCTGCCGTGTTTGTTGTGCTGGTGCCTTGTGGATTATTCATGCTTATATCGGACTATTGTGACTCGCTCCGCATTTAAAACAGACGGTGCATGAATGCAGTTTTACGGTAAGTGAAATTCGAGTACTTTATTTATGTGTTGCTTATGTTTTTAGTCAGCTAACGTTAATGAATGTTAATGCTTGGGTTAGCATGTAAGCAAGTGGTAGCTACATCTGTGCTAACGATGCTAATCGTAGCCTCCAAGTTAAAGCGTAATAGAGAAGTGTTAAGCATTAAGTGGGATAATACTGTAGAACAAACGGCTTCTGTTTGAGGTTGGTAAAATAAGGTCATCCTTGTAAGTTAGAGAGATATTTTATTAGGTAGGTAACTTTATGCATTGATAAGGTTCATTTAAATTAGCTATGATCGATTATGTAGACAAGCTAACGTCAAAGTAGTGTTGAAGAGCGGCCTAGTGTATGTGAAATTAACCTCACAATAAGATGTATGTATATTACAAATATTAATGTCATATTTCAAGATGATTACTTAGATATTACAATATGGTTGGTTGAGCTGGAGTTCATTATTGAGCTTACATGTTAACGTCACAGTCATATCTGAAGAACGAACCCAAAACTTGTTATTACTACTAATACTAATCACAATAATATATTTTGCCAAGAAATGTATACTTTTATTCTGGAAGAATGAACGTCCCCCAACATTTAAACTTTTCATTGATCAGATAACACATTTTTTACCTCTGGAGAAAATGACATTGGAAAAATATAATCGTGGACATATTTTTCAAGCTCTGTGGTTGCCATTGTTTTCGTATTTGGAAAACATATCTGAGATATGACCAGTGATGGAATGGTGCATTCTGTGGCTATTTGTCCTGACGGCCGGAAATACGTGTTATGGTGTTGTCATTGTCTACATTGTCACTGTATTGTATAATTATTTGTATTGTATAATTATTTGTTTGTTTTACTTGTCTGGTTTTTATTTTATTTTTTATTTATTTATTTTTTGGTTCTATTTTTCCTTTTCATTTTTATGTTTATTTTCATGGCTCTGTTGTTTAAGTTATATTGATAAGCATTTTTTGGTTTTGCCTGTGCGGGTATGTGTGGGTGGAGGGAGGGAGGGGGGAGTGTAGTGAGTGTACTGTGATATTACAATATAAATGAAATGGCATCGATTATTGTACACTATAATGAAATAAAAAGACTATTATATTATTATATTATAAATAAATAAATATGTGTATCAGTCATAAACAGTCATTACTTAGAGTCCTAATTTTCTTCATGTGTGAATAAAATGTTTTGCTTGGCTCTTTTGCATCTTACTTTGCATTTGCAAGGCTCCCTTTTACCAATTATAAATGGTAGTAACTCATTCATAGGTGGTCATAAGAGATGCCAAGAAACATCAAGATGGAAGGGGGGGGAATCAACTCAGTGAACAACAGATACCAAGGATTCTGGCTGATGAAGAAGACGAAGTAAGCTAGGTAGCCAATATAAGGCTTAGCAGTACAGATAAATGTAGGCTCACTATTTGGCAAGCAACCGGTCACAGTTGCCCTGTTTATCTCATGTCTTATAAAAGCTTATTAATGATTTATAAAGTGTTCACAACCTAATTAATAAATGAATTACAAACTATTCATAAACCCTTTATAAGGGTAGTCTTATTGTAAAGTGGTACCCAAACTTTACTGAAGCTTCTAAAAACCAGCACTTTGGCATTACTATGATACTCATGTGGGGAATCAGTTTACTCTTGTTTATGGGAGGTTTTTTAATCTCAAATTGAATTAAAAAAAAGTTGAGTTGCATAACAGTATTATATTACATCATGTATTTACCTGTTGTACAATTGTAGTGAGCTCCAGACAAAGCTGGATCACGTTGTTCCTGGTCACAGAGTAATCTGCAACTGCAGCAAACGGAGATCTGAAAAAGAACGAGCATCTGGAATGAACCATTAGATCATTCTTCCTCTGAGACTAAATCATTGGTAAATCTGAGGGAACATTTCCAAACACGCAACGGTGAACATCAGCATGCATACACAGGCCTTATGACTGCTTCATTCTCATCTACATTTTGGAGGTTTTTTCTTACTCATTTAAAGTGGACCTATCATGCTATATTTGAACAATATATTGTAGGGCCATACCTATATAAAGTATATAAATATAGTTTTTTTTTCAAAATACCAAACAGATCCTGCATTTTAGCCATGCCTCATTTCGCTCTATTTGCTCTTTCCAGCCCTGTTTTTGCAGGGGGCTGATTCTGTGAGCTGCAGCTGACCACGCCCCCCTGCAGGAGAGGGGAGCGTGCTTTGAGATCAGCTGCTGGGCTGTCAGAAGAGGGGGAGAAAAAGAGATCTCCGTCCTCCGTGTTTTATTCTTATATTATTATATAGAGTCGTTATTCATTTGTTTTAAAGCTCAATAAATAACAAAGAAGACCTTTGACCGGCACTTTTCTAATTTTGTCCAGAAGATTTAAACTTTAACGGACATGTTGACCGGCGGAAAAAAATCGAAGTGAAACTCTGCCGCACGGTCCCCTCGTTCCTTGGAAGAGGCGGAGAGGTGGGTGTTTGTCATCTGCTGGTGGACTAACCGGAGATAATTACAGTGCTTGCCTCGACGGGGAGGGATTGCATTGAATTAAAGCAGCGGGAGCAAACGCTTGCCTCGGGGAGGGAGAAAAAAATCCACAGCGGAGAATAAACAGAAGGGCAACCATGGCAACCATGCGCGGGAAGTCTTCTTCGCTGCTTTGGTGGCAGACTACAGCGCCACTTACAGGCCTGGCATATGTACTACAGCGTCTCCAGCGCTTTCGAGCGGCAATGGCCGGCCGTGGCCCAACCCCACATTCCCCTGATAGGTGGAGAGTTGGCCATACAGGTGGAGCTCATCCGTCCTGACGTCAGAGAAATTTCAAATCTGTATCAGTTTTTATCAGATCCGTTGCAGCCCCGTTTTTAGAGATTTGGGTATGGAGGAAAAGAGAGAGGGTTGTGTTTTCTGACACTTGGTGAGTTCCCTGGAACACCGGGGACACATATTCATGTATAAAAGACGTACAAAAGTGCATTTTGCATGATGGGTCCCCTTTAAAGTCCGATTTATGAGAATGATATTAGTGATACTTTGGCCCATATGTACAGTTTATCATCCACTTATAAAAACATTTGTATAAACAACTTCATGTGTTAAATGTTTATATAGTATACAAAAAAAGTATCTTCATATAATGGTAAATGCTTATGTGTACTTTTGGATATTGAATTTTTTATTAAAATGGATGCTGCAGATTTGAATTGCCAACATAGGAAAAGAAAGAGCATTTAACTTGTCTTTTCTTTTGAACATTGTGTGCTTTCAACTTCCAATTTGACACACACACACACACACACACACACACACACACACACACACACACACACACACACACACACACACACACACACACACACACACACACACACACACACACACACACACACACACCACACACACACACACACACACACACACACACACACACACACACACACACACACACACACACACACACACACACACACACACACACACACACACACACACACACACACACACACACACACACACACACACAAAAATAGATGAAAACACACATTGGCACAATCCCACTGAGAAGCAAAGGGATAAAGCAAAAATATAAATAGACTTGCTCAGTGCATTTTTACCACCCTGTCAAAGTCTTCTTATATAAGGCCGTTACTCATCTGTTCTTGTCAGCTGATTGGTTATGGACATAACATGAAAAACAAACTGGTCTGTTGGTGGTAAAAAAACAACTAGCATCCCTACAATTTTACATGAACCAATGCAAGGTGCCAGAAAAACAAGAGGCATTCCTATGTTGAAGTTATTTTGAAAAATTCATATTGAACCATCCATCATATAAAATCCAGTCCAATGCAGAGTTTTTATTTTTGCTTGAAAATGCAATCATGAGTAAGTATCCAAGATTAACTTAGATACTGCATGTCAGGCTGTCAATCATGATGGTACAACATTTGAGACTTTATCAGCCAAAACCAGTGCTGCTACTGTAACACCCAAATATAAAAACTAAAAAGGGGAAACCTTGCCCGTGTTTCAGTGTGCATGTTTTAATCCCTGTGTTGACACATGTGTTTAACAGGATTACACATATTACAGGTGCACTTTTTCGCAAATCTCACCTGTCCAGCCACGCCAGAAGGCTTTTGGCCGCAGCGATCAGGTCCACCACGGAGGTAAGGAAGTCGTTGGGCAGCTTGTGGGAGGCTCTGCCGTCGTAATGGCCGCTGCGCCGCCTGTCTGTGATGAAGTTCTGCAGGTTCTTGGCAGATGCGTTCAGCTTATGAGAAAGAGTTTTCAGATTCTCAGTCTCCAGCCCATAATTCTAGAAAAGAGAGGAAAGTAAACCCAATCTGTTTGACCAGTTTGTCAGTGTTTGTTTTTGCCGTTTTCCAGGAATTGCTCCAGTTCGGAGACAACTGTTGTCATGACATTGCTCTGTGAATAAAAATAGTAACAGAGGAGCCCACTGTGTCACACTCTTACCACATGAGGTAAGAAACCACTGACCCATTCACCCCGCCTGCTCCCCTCCATCTGTCACATTGCATGTGGAGGGATAGCAGAGCAATCATTACCCGGTTACATGCACATGGAGGCCAGTCGGCGACTGTCACGTTAGTTTCTCGGGAGGGGAGGAGGGTCCACTAATCATATTCAATACAGCAGTGCCGGAGAGACTTAAAGCTAAATCCCAGTTACATAACGAGCTTTGGGGCTGAAGCAAGGCCCCCTGTGCAGCGATGCGGGATGAGAGGACTTTAGATTCAGATTGCATCTGTGACCTCAGTCCATGAAATCTCCATCCAGTCTCTCTATGCGTCTCTCGGGCTGAAACGTACCCATCTTAATTTCTATTCCACCATCTCGCCTTCATAATGTTCTTCAAATCTTTATATCTTCTTATTATTATTTCAACCAATATGTTGCCGTCCGATAACTTCAGCCTACTTTCAGCTACAGAAACCATTCAAATATCAAAATATTCAGCCTTTTCAGCACATGATGGGAAACTTTCAACTTTTCCAAAATATTTTACACTTTTTGAAATATTCAGCTTTTTAAACTCTTTTTTTAACATGTAACTCAATGGGAGGAACCTTCAAATCCTCTTTTACCTACACCTTGCACCAAATGCTTCTCCTTCCACATACTTTCAGCTAGAGACTTCATTCCAACTTTAAAATGATCACAAGACCTTCAGCTATAAAACTTGTTCTTCTGATTTTTCATATCTTTTATACTTTTTGAGATATTTAACTTAGTTTGGAGCTTGGTAAAGAGGCTTTCTTCAGATTTTAACATTAGTGTGTATTGCGCAGCTCGTTAAGTCTAGAGTGCTTTGATCTCAAAACAGAGTGGAGGAGTGCTTGAAATTCACCCAAAAAAATGTTTTAAACCTGCCATAATTCCCAAACTTTTAAAAGTTGTGAAGAATAAAATTCCTTAAGTGTTAAATTGCTTAGTTCTAGCTCTTCGAATTTGAGGATTTGCTACTTTTATATCATTTTACTGTAAACCCACAATTTGAAGTCACATTAGGTTCTGTGAAATAGTTATATATTATCCTCATGTCATGTTATGTGAGGATTAAATGACAATGTAATCTGCAGATTAGTCGATTATGAAATAAATGTTCGTATGCAGCCCAATACTGGCGTTTGAATTTTGAACTTTTGTGTTCTAGCAGAAGCATTAATCAACCAAAAATCATCCCAAACTTTTCAAATCGGAGAAAAGGTAAAGGCTTCTCCCTGATAGAAAACAAATACATCTTTGACCTAATTATCTGTTCTTGACTGAATTGAGTTTTTTTTTTCAGAAACTACAGTGCCTTGATAGAGGCGATAGAGACTCCTGAAAAGGATGTTTCTTCAAAATTAGTTTAACTTGTGTCATTGTGGATTGAATTAATCCAAAATGTTGTGCAACCTGAATTGTCTTCTGTACTGTGTTGTAAATTGAAGATGTTGCAATAAAAAAATGTATGATAACAAAAAAACTTGTGTCATTGTGATGCTGCTGACCTGAATCACAAGGTAAAACAAGTCTGAGGTCGCTGCAGTGAGACCCGGGGTGAGTGTTCCAATCTGTGCTGATATTAGACTTTTACTCCTGACTAGCACCTTAGCCATATCATCAACATCAGTCTACTATCGTGCTGACACACACAAAACGTTGTGATTCTAAGAGTAACAGCAGAAATCACTTAAGGGGGCCCTTTTGTGCTTGATTTAATCTTAAGCATTTCCCCAATCAAAATTAGAACTATTCCTGAAACGATTTTGCAAAATGAGTAACAGACTTTATAAAAAAACTCTATCAATTAACACTATCAGTTGAAACCTCACATAGACTAATCTTGACACCACATGTTGGGATTAATCCAATTAATTTGTATTCAAAAGCTGAGGAGGAATCAAAATGTGCTACAGAAACTTTGTCAAACAGCAGTGGTCTGGGAGAGGTGACAGTACAGAGTAGTGGGAGGACAGTGTGGGATTTCTGGACTCACCAGAGCACAAAGTAAGTCCACAGCCTCCAGTATGAGCTCCTGGTGGCCGATTCTGGACACTCCCAAATCCTCCAGCTCCTGGTGGGTGATACGCAGCAGCTGGTCCCCCCCTACTTTCTCTTTCTCGAAGGTCTTGATGTACTGCTGTAGGCAGTCGTCCAGGCCTGAGGGATTCACACAGGAAAAACGTTCAGTACAGCTCCACAACATGAACATTTTGTTTGTTGGCAGTATCAGACTTTCTGAGCACTTGTGAAACCCCCATTTGCATTTTGTGGCTAGATATCACTTTTCCTGTGAGGATAATGTGTCGATATCTGTAAAGTGTGAGCACAGGTTGTATTTTAAGTGTGAAACAGTCTGTGTCAATAAAGAAAACTGACAGATTCCTCCTCCTCAACAGTCTTGAGGTGCAGTTTCACCTTTAAACTAGAGAAAGCTTTCAACTAAGACGAGGCTGCTTGTGCTCAGCTAGTGTTACATCTTTCACTGCTGCAGCAGGTGTGAAGTCTTTTGGTGACGCAGTTGATGAAGAGGAGCAGACTTGAACAGAGTCTGATTCTGCATCAGCCATCTACAGCACTGATTCATACCTATTCAACAGAGGTTTAAAACTGTGCTAACACATGTAGCAATAGGGGTAACATGACTAAAAACCTCAAGAAATACCATCATGTTGACCCAACTTGCATGTTATCTGCAAACAGGTAATTTCAGTAGCATTGTATTGGACTGCATTTTCTGTAAGTGTTAATAATATTTAACAACATATTTAGCTCTAAATCTGTGCTAACAGTGATAAATGATTTTGAAATCATAAACATTGGATGCTGTTTAAAAAAAATGTAATAGTAGAGGTCCATTGAGTCTAAAATGTTTTCTGCAGTTGCATTCCCTTTCATATCATTAAACACACAATTAAGCTGAAATAGAATAGAAATACATAATGTTCCCATAATTGATTAATGTGCTCATTGTGTGATTAAGCATTCGGTCTATAAAATGTCAGAAAGTAGTGAAAAATGCCTATCATAATTTCGGAGAGCCCCAAGGTACGTCTTCAAATTATTTATTTCATCTTATTTTCATCTTTCCAAAACTAAAACATTCGTGTTACTTTTAAAGAAGACAAAGGAAAAGAGCAAATAATGAAGAAAATAGTCCTTGTCTGTCTATTGAGGAACTGATTAATTGATCAACCATGTGAACTCCAACCCATTTTATGTAAATAAACCAAATTTCACCATACATGTCACCAGAAAGTGCTCTGAATGTTAACTCGTTGCTCATCTCGTCGTCTCATCGCCGCAGACCTTTTACATACATGCGTTTCAGAGCTTTCCCTAAACCTGATCAAGCATTCAGATTGGGTTTAGCAAGCAGCTAAACGGTGGAGAGGAAACATAGGGAGTTTCATGGTTTAGCCTCAAATGTAAAGGCTTAACTAATCAGCCTCTTTACCAAGTTAATTGAGACTCATTATGTCAATGAAGTATTCCCCATGTTGCTATAGAAACCTTGAAGTAGGGTTTTGGCAGGGGTACTCCCTGACCGCTCGACCAAATAAAGAAATGTGTGAAGAGAGGACACAATGCTTTCCAAAAAGTGATGATAGCATGAGAGATCTAGCCGACATACTGAGTTCATCAGTAATAACTCTAAAACTCCCATGGGATTTGAGATGTTTATATGATATTGAATAGCACCATGTAGCACTATTTTTTATGAATAAAAAGTATTACTTTAAATGATATGGGGGAGTTAAGAGATGAACACTGATGCTGTATGATAAAGTTTCAATCTGAAATACATTCATACTTGTCCTCCTGTAGCACCATTTTAAAGGAAAGCTTCTCTAGATGGAGTACACTTTGCTGATTGCACTAAGGGATTTTCCTGTCCATGTCATATGCGGGTCAGATTATGAGGCACGCTGAGGAGAAATTAAAAGTGCAGTTCTGACATAGCCTGATCTAATTTCTAGATAATCCACTGGTAATATAAGGTAAAAGAGACACTAAACACTGTTAGCATCTCAAAAATGGATTCCTGTTAATCCGACTTGTCATTGATCGCTTTCTTCGACTGTCACTGAGTGAAACAAAACTGAAAGAAAAGATTAAACTGATATACTTCACAAAACATGAATTATGATAATGCACACTGACAGGAAGAGCCTGCGAGATTATACTAAGCCTGCATTAAGTATGCGCCTCCAAACACACACACGCTATCAATGACAGTAAAACACACAATGAACACATCATGTGTTTGCACAGATACCACGCAGTAGTTTCACAACACAAAATGTTTCAGTGAAAGCGGGAATTCTTTTCTCTTTTGTGACGAGAATCTCTTCTTTAGAGAGGCTTTGTCACAGCTGGGGTCTTGCTCACACAAAACACCAGCGGGGGGAGGAGAGTGGGATTGTGGGAAGGTCACAGGGTGCCCCTATTTGGCCTCCAGTGACATCATGGAGCGCTATGCTAATAATTGAACCTGTGAATGCTCACGACAAAACACTGCCAGTCCTGAGGAGCTGAGAATGGATGGGAGACAAGACTGAACCCCCCCCTCTCCCTTTCCTCTCCCTCTGTGGCACTCTGTCCCTCACTTTGAATTACCATTACTGGGCTCTGGGCACAGAATCCTCTCTGCTCCACTTGCTGGATGTGGGACACTGAAGAGCCCTCTCTTATATGCCATCTCCGCTTCTCGCTCCCTACATTTCTTACTACAAGCTTATTTACAGGTCCTCTTAGATATCATTTAAACTGTTGTTATTTGCTTTTCTCTACCTACAAAATCACCCTTCATTCTTTTGTCTGTATAAATCCTCCATAAAGCCATATACTTTACTGAGCCAGCAAACTTACAAAACACCTTGTTTGAAAAGGCAGCATCAGAATCAAGTACTTGTAACACACAGCTCATACTAAGAGAGGTCTGGTTCTGCAATCATAATATGTCTGAGCCAGCAGAAAAAGGCCCACAGGCTTAGAATTATGACTAAGAGAGTGCCTGTAGAGTATGTGTGTGTGTGTGTGTGTGTGTGTGTGTGTGTGTGTGTGTGTGTGTGTGTGTGTGTGTGTGTGTGTGTGTGTGTGTGTGTGTGTGTGTGTGGAGGCAGAAAACATGTATGTGTATGATGTGTATGTTTCATCCGAAGGGCTGTGGCCTGACACGTGAGCATGTGGCTCTGCTTAACAACACACATTACTGAAAAAAATCACAATAATGACAAATACAGAGACTTGCATCTTGCACATTTGATAATAACAGACCTCCAGAGGCAAACATTTTGTAATGCAACCAGACAAAAAGCAGAAAATCTAATGAGTTTTCTGTGCCCTGACAGTGTGCTTGTGTGGGATATTTATACATATTCAGACAATTATCCTCTGAGGAGCCTCTCATCTAATATACCTAACAAATGTATAAAGGAATTAATGCATATTAACAATTATATAGGCCTAGGCCTCCATTCAGTTCATACAAAAGCATCACTTTCCATCAGGAGAGCAGTTGGCCTCAAGAATGCTTCTGTTATTGGATCATATCTTTGTGTTCAAACCTCTTTGTCTTTTGGGTGTTTCCCAAATATAAAATGTTTTCCAACTTACACAAGATGCTCTTATGCTAAATAAATGCCTATAATAATAGTAAACCTGAGCTCAGAGCTGGTATACTCTTATACCACCTCGGGGTTAGAGTGCATCAGTGGATTTCAAGACTATTTAAGCTACTTGTCAGCTGTGACTTCTTAATGTCTTAGAACATCTGTGGATCAACATTTGGCACAGATGGCTGTAGGCTTTGACAATGTACAGCTATAATAGCTCTTATTCTAGACAGCAGAAATAAACCTTAACCGATTACTTGGAACATGGATTCAGAATGATCCAGTGAGAAGGGTTGTGTTTTTAACTACTGAATCTCTGCTATGTTTCCCAGCCTCCAGCGAGCCAGCCCCGCGATAACAAACCACCGAGGGACACAATAGAGGCACAATTGATCTGAAAGGACAAGTCGTCTACAGATTGAAACAGTCTGGAATAAATCGATCAATGATTCAAGGATGTAATTAAAAGCCTCTATCAGCCGCATGCCGATGAGGCAGCAATCCGAGGCTCAGCAGGTGTTTTGTTCCCTTTTGGCATCTCGAGTGAATCTGTGATGAAATGCGTTTCCACTCGCAGCAGAAGACTGTATTCATGCGATATTGCAGTTTGTGAGATCAGTTCGGCTAACATCGTGCCTGAAGCCTTACCTTTCATCCAGTCAACCACTTGACTGGAGCTCCACTTGCTCACAGGCTCCATAACCAGTGCCATAGAGAAGTTTGTCTTCGCGCTTGACAAAAGAAAAACACCCCAAACACGCCCACTCCCCCTCTCAAAAAATGTTTTTTCTTCAAGAATAACAATTAGAAATTAAAAAGGGTAAATCAGATGGCCCTCAAAATTATTCTGTGGTGGGTTTGAGTGTTTACAAACAAAACGAGGTAGGTCCAAAAGGTCCAAAATGTCGCTTTGATAAGCCCGAGTGCAGCCCGGCGGACTTCTGCACATTCCTGCGCTGTTTGCTCGCTTGAAAGAGCTCTTTTTACTTGTCATTCATGTCAGGTTCAGTGGCGGTAATGCTGGTGGGTCGCTGCTACTCGACCCCCCTTCCCAAATACATCCCAGTACCATCCAGTGCGGAGGAGAACAACGCACAGACTGTCATTTCATACTGTGTCTGGAAAGGTTGGGTTCGCTCTGAGCATCCTCCCTCACACACAGACATGGAGTCACAGCCCTCACCGTGCGAAGTGTGTTTGTATGAGGGGCGATTAGTGCCACAGAAAGAGGCAGGGGGAATTAATGACATCCAGTTTATGGATGTTGATAATAAAAACAATCCAGTAAATGAACAGCTTGGCTGAGCTGCAGAAATGTTGCATTGCAGTTCACGCATGAGCATGCAACATTGATAAGAATGTTAAAAGACAAGTGTGTATAATTTTGGGGGATTTAGTAGCAGAAAAGCATTGAATACAATATTCATAACCATGCTTTTTTTAAAAGCCTATGGTCTCCAGACACTAATAATTAATGTATTTTGTTATGAACCCTATACTAGAAAGTGGGCACAATTCCACACCGTGTTTCTACAGTAACCCACAACAAACAAGAGGCCTTTCATGTTCCTTTGTTTCCTGAAGTCCACTATGTTCACCATCACGCTTAGAAAGGGATATTTTTGCAACCGCATTCCTTTAGGTATTATTGAATCCTTCACACATGTCACTGTCCATAATAGATCTGTCTTTTAAGGAACTGTGCTGGTGGGACAATACCAGACCACAACAAAGAACCCAGGAGTTGCCAATGCCAGAAAAAGGACATGACCCATCATTGGCTTCCCAGCCATAGAAAATGTGAATGGATCAAGCTGGGAGCATTGCATCCATGGATTGGGTCCAGGTCTGAATGAGGGAATGTTTTTAATAGTTTTTCTGGATGTTTTATATGGGGCACACTAAGCGATTGCACTCGTTCAACTTTGTTTCTGCAAGCACGATAAGCACTTATTGCAGAAACAATACATTCTTTCTCCATAATATATACAGCAATTTAGAACATGCAACCTGAGCCACCAATTAATCCATTCAACACAATGACCAGGCTGACAATGATTCCGCTTCCTTCTCCATCAGTCCTTCGGGCACTAACCACCTCTCATACACTCCACTGTTTCCTCCTGCCGTCTTTGTCGCTGCTCACGCCTCCATCACACAAAGCGCAGTGTAGCGGTCACTAACGAGACAAGGAAGCGGACATGCGCCTCGCTTTTTTCATGTCTTGGTAAACAGCCTCAGGGTCTAAGCGTATCACTGCATGGACACTCCATCAAATGCTAAACTGAATCTCTTACCATCTATTTAAACAAATAAATACACTGATGATGCACACTCTACATTTCCATGATATCTGTTATAATTTGGTAATCACCATATTTAAAGTAGGCCTAGCTTATTATGTCCATCATCTTGGTCAAATAAAAATCTACAGCATGAATACATTTTTAAAAGTATTCATTTCAAATCAATAGGCTGCATTCAAATGTAAAACTCTCAGACAAAGCATGCGGTGTCTGAAAAAAACATGTTTGACTTTTTGCAAGTGTTGCCAACGGTACAAGCAGGTAAATGAGCCAATAAAGCAGAAACCCAAGCAGGGCTAGCAATGACATTCAACATAATCGATAAAGATACATAGGGACAGGAAGCTTTTCTGTGTGAAGCTTGATAATGTGGCAGGACAAGCGAATATACTCTGAAAAGCACCAGCTTTTTTTACCTTTATGACTCATATTTATGCAGTAGATAACAGCCAGAAGGACATTCCAGCATTTCACTGGCCATGCACAACAACTAACAGTATCAGACTTGTATAATTGCAGTGCCATAAATTAAGATGAGAATGTTTGTCTTCTTGAAGAATGCTACAAAAATGCAATATATTCCATAACATAATGCTAAACCATGCCTCAAGATTCGTCCCAGTGTTGGATAGAGCTCAGGACGAGTTTGAAGCTAGTTTGGAAAGTTTAGAAACATATCTGGTGGATTGGATTAAAATAAGTGAATTTACCAATACATTAGCTGCAAGTAGCCTAGCTTTGAAGTCTCTGGCAAACCGTCAACAGTCGTGTTGTATTGTGGGTTCTGTTGGCTATTACTATGAAAGCATAGAATAAAGTTGACAATATCTCTGGTTCAACTGCATTTGATCATTTTTTCAAAAGGTTTTTTCAAGCTGAAGTGTTATACTGTAGGAGTGCATTACTAAATCCCTGTAACGTGTTGTGGTTCAAGCTCTTTTGCTAATGAAAGCCTGATGTGGGCCAGCTGTGCAACCTCTGTTTTCACACATGTTTTTAGTATTTATATGGATACAATTCGAAAATAATTTAAAAGTAAATCATTGTTCACCTGCCCCTTTCCTATTGTGAGATAACTACATGTCTTACATATCAAAAGAAAGCAAAAGGCCTATTGCCGTAACAGTAGTGATGTTACGTATTACGCCGAGGCTTTGGAGCGTGTGTCGAGTAATCCCCGAAGCTTTTTGTGAAGCTTGTATCGAGGCTTGTATCGTTTTGGGCCAGTGACGTCACCGATGACAAACGAAGCCTCGCTGCCCCTCAATACCACGTGACTGCTTCAGAAAGTGCGGTTGAACGGCTTGAACCACAACGCTCAGCCTCATATTACCCATGTATAATAAGAACGATATTACCCCTCCTGTACCCGGGCCTGGTGAAACGATGGAATTAGAGCTCAGACCCTCACTTATATAGAGGTCGGAACATGTCATAAGTATAAATAAATAAAAGCATAAATAAATGTAGGAATAAAAACTAGAATAAATACAGGAATAAATACTATTCAGTTTTCAGTCGGATCCAGTGTGTGTGCTGTGGCTCAAAGTGGAAAGCGGTTGTCTCACAACCGTAGGGTCCCTGGTTCAATGACTGGTCGATACGTATTTTTTTTGTTTATAAAAGCTACAGCTAATTGAGATAATGTAGTTAATAATGTATTATTTGATATGGTTAAGCCTTTCTCAGGCTATAACATGGTTACGTTTACGAATATGATTAAGGAATACAAATCCCTCTTTTCAATGTTTACCATGCCTCCTTAGGCTTTTCAATCACAATCATTAAACTGGAATAAATACAATATTGTTAACATGAAAATATGATTTTATGTTCGTTGTGTTTAGAGTTATTTTAAGGCTTTACTCATTGGGAACTCGGTATGAGATACAGCACACAGATGTCAAATCTGCCTGTTTTACACACTTTGACCAACAGGGGGGTTTGTGTTCAGATGAAGCCCATGATGAAGCCTCATGAGATGAACCCAAAGCTTCAAAGCTTCATAAAAGCTTCATCTCGCCATCACTACGTAACAGCACATCTTGCTGTGGTAATGTACTCAAGTTGTTCAAACAGGCTGCATGTTGTTCACACTTCCGGCCTCTAGATGGCAGAGACTGCTTTGTAATGCTTTGCTACTCACGCGATAGTTCAGGCGAGAAGAAGAAACTTTGACTTCCTGAAGATTCGACTGTACCAAAGGTGAGTTAACGTTCATTAGTTGCAATACTTAGTAAGTAACAATAATGTTTTTATATAATTACACATGCTTTGATATTTACGTGTTTTCCGATAGTAAATGTAATGTTATAATTGTACGTAAAACTCACTTCCTTTATTCGTACGTATTTTCATTCCCGAATCAAAGTACTTAACGTTAACTTAACTTCAAGTTTAACTAACTAGCTGACGTTGGATCAAAAGGGATTTTGGAATTAGATTACATCATGTTCACTAAAGACTTTAGGAGAAAGAGGCAGAAGGACAGACACTATGCCACTGATATATCAACATGAGAAGTCAAGACCGAAGAGTGCAGTTAAAATACCATGAAATAGCATTTATGCTAGCTAAAGCTGCTACAGTTGTTTCTGTTAACAGCTTGGATGTATAAAGGTTGATAGTTCGTCCGACTGAACATTAATGCAGCTACAGTTTTTGACATATGGTGACGTGATCTCTCGAGCGACCCAGAGGCTCACAGTCACACACGTGTAACTTTTTAATTTAGCTTCCCATTACTGCACCTCTAGGTTAATATGGGGAGGAAACCGTGTAGTCTTGAGGCAGGTTAAACAACCCTGTTTAACGCTGTTAAATAATATGATCTTTAAATAATACTATGAAGCTAGGTTATTACATTGTTGTTGCTTTTGAAATGATTTAATTTGTATTCTGTATCTACCATTGAGTAGAATCTAAATTATTATACTACATCTTTCATTGCCATCAATGCCATGTGAATTTGAATACAATAAAAATAAATGGACATTTCTGTAACCTTGCATTTAATGTTTTTTTTCTTCAAGGTAATGCATTATCTTGGCATACTGCACACACATGCGAAACAGAGTCCAACTGGAGAAACCTGAAAATCGGGTCTGGTGGAAACCTCTATGCCCTGATAGAGAATTTGAGAAATGATCTTATCTTATGATCTTATTTCCCATGTTTGTTCTTCTGCAGGTACAGACACATTACTGCCTAGAGACCAACCCTGGGAAACATGTTAGTCGTTGGCTGACCCTTTCTATGACAAGATGGACTATAGTTATATGGCGGCGATGGAGGAGATGGACTCGCTGTCAGACAGCTCTTCCATAGGGGAGGCCGTGTCTGGTAGAGGACGACGGCGGCGGCGTGAGTCTGATGAGGATGAGGGCCTCTTCTACATCCCTGAGAGAAGACGTTCACTCCACCTGGATCAGACTCCAATGGACACCAGCCACTGGTACTGAGATTTTTCACTTATGAGCCCTAAAGATCCTTCCTCTCAATGTAGGGTAGTCATACTGTGAAGTTATGTTATAAGGACTATTTCAAATCTAAAACATATAAACAACATCTAGCCTTATCTTATTGGTTTTTTTCTGTGAACAAGTCAAACCAATATTTAATCATTTTGTGTAGCAGCAAGGATAATGGGAAGATCTGCGGTTCCCCTCATGGACTGAATGAAGAATTTGACTTATCTTGCTCCATCTTATCTAATCCAGTTGGGTGTAATATACCCAACCCTTAATTCAATGTGTTAACTGTATCTCATTAAATATACATATATATATATACAATATTTTAGAAAAACCTAGAGCGTTAAAAAACAAACAA